GCAACGTAGTGGAGTTGGCAATGTGCCCAAAAATGTCTCTCGCATAAGTTGTCCACCCATCCTTCTATGGAATGGCGCTCCCACTTTGCACTACTTTGCAGTTCGCTCGGGTATAGTGTTCTTCCCATTCAGGAGTGGAGGTCTCGCCTGCGGCATTTTGCGAATTACACAAGACTTGGCAGTGTACTTAGACATCGCGCTCTCGCAACTAAGGATTCGCGATCTCGCCTTGTAACCCCTTACCGCCATCCCTCATTGTCCCGCCCGGCCGACCAGGAGCTGGGATGAAAGAGAGACGCCCCTGAAATGGGGTAGCGTCCACAAGCGAGGATGGCGTCAGTCGAGGGCTTTGGGTATACATACGCGTGGATCGATTCGCGAGCAGTGCGTAGCGAGCAGTCTCAAGCTATTGTGGCTGCTTCTGGTGTGGTGGTGTTTCCCGATTTTCGAGTCGGGGATCGACTGCAGAATTGATTTGCCCCAGAATTGATTGTCTCGACGAAGAACAGACGTATAACGGTTGTGTGAATATGTACATATATCGGAGGTAAGGGGGTGAGATCGAAGTGGAACGGAGAGCCCCTCCTACCGGGAAATCGGTTTCGGTTTCTTGTTCGTCCGTGCAGTGCGTGCGGGCGAGGCGAAGTTGCGTGGGCGGGCGAGAAATGAGTCTCCTGTAGCTGAGGCGCGGCCGGACCAAAAAGTCTCCCTTCCGGCAACTGGTGCCCCGCGGTGTCCCGCCGGTGTCCCGCTCGGGGGCCGGTGGCGCGCGGTGTCCCGCCGGTGTCCCGCTGGTGTCCCGTCGGTGTCCCGATGATGATTATGATGATGATGATGATGATGATGATGATGATGATGATGACGATGATGATGATGACGATGATGATGTTGATAATGTTGACGATGATGATGATGGTGATGGTGATAAGGATGATGGTGTCCCGATGATGATGATGATGATGATGATGATGATGATGATGATGATGATGATGATGATGATGATGATGATGATGATATTGACGATGTTGATGATGCTGGTGATGGTGATGATGATGATGGTGCCCCGATGACGATGATGATGTTGATGATGATGATGATGTTGCTGATGATGATGGTGCCCCGATGATGAAGATGTTGATGATGATGATGATGACCATATGATTTGATGATGATGGTGATAAGGTTGATGATGTTGTCCCGATGATGATGATGATGATGATGATGATGATGAGGTTGATGATGATGGTGATGATGATGATAATGATGATGATGATGATGACGACGATGGTGTTCCGATGATGATGATGTTGATCATGAGGATGATGATGAGGTGATGATGTGGCCCAACGATGGTGATGATGCTGCTGTTGATGATGATGATGATGGTGTCCCGGTAATGTTGTTGATGATGATGATGATGATGATGATGATAGTGACGATGATGATGGTGTTCCTATGATGATGATGTTGTTGTTGTTGGTGATGCTGATTTTGCTTATGATGATGGTGTCCCGATGGTGTTGATGCTGATGATCTTGTTCATGATCATGATGGTGAGATGATGATGATGCTGGTGGTCCTCCGATGATGATGATGATGCTGATGATAATGCTGATGATGATGCTGATGGTGTCCTGATGATGATGATGATGATGATGCTGTTGATGATGATGGTGACGATGATGGTGTCCCGATGATGATGATGATGATGCTGATGATGATGATGATGATGATGATGATGATGCTGATGATGATGATGATGACGATGATGATGATGATGATGATGATGATGATGATGATGATGATGATGACGATGATGATGATGATGGTGATGATGGTGAAGATGATGCTAGTGCTGTTGATGATGGTGATGAGGTGGTGATGGTGATGACGGTGTCCCGATGATGCTGATGACGATGATGATGATGTTGATAACGTTGGTGACGATGATGTTGATGATGACGACGACGTTGATTGTGATATCGATTGTGATATCGATCGTGAGATCGATAGTTTGACCGAATGTGAGATCGATTGTGAGATCGATCGTGGGATCGATAGTGCGATCGATTGTGAGATCGATCGTCAGATCGATTTTGAGATCGATCGAATGAAATCGATCGAGTGATATCGATTGTGAGATCGACCGAGTGAGATCGATCGAGCGAGACCGATCGTGAGCTCGATAGTGAGATCGATAGTGAGACCGATCGAGTGAGACGTTGGTTCCTCCCCCCCCGAACCTCGTTATCACCGGAAGGGTGGTCGTACAGGTATAGATATATTGAGAGTATGCGTATGTTTGATAGATCCGACGGGAATTTCAATTTTGGGGTACATCAATGTTGTAGTCGATGTCCTATTCGAGACTTGCTCTCTGGTGATGACGAGACTGCGCGCCCTTGAGGATGTCGTTTTGGCCGCCGAGCCGTTTCTGCGGGTCCGTAGGAGGCGGCGTTGTCCTCAGCTCTCGGGTGGGGTGCGTGGGCGCGGGCGCGGCTTTGGCTCAGATGCGGGCGCTTGGGCGTTGACCCCCCTCTGGCGTCCCCCTCCTCCTCCTCCTCCTCCTCCTCCTCCTCCTCCTCCTGTCACGTGTGCGGATGCGAGTAGTAGTTTTACGGGTCAAACATCGCCCTGAGTTTATTTGTGGTTCTCGCATTAGCTAGTTTTTCTGAAGCGGGGATCGGTTTTCACTCAGTAGTTTTCACTCAGCTGTGTCTCGTCCGCCCTTCCTGCCCAGTTTGCTGCAGAATTTGTTTTCCAGGAAGTGGTTCCTAGCAGGATAGCATCGCTCGCGCTGTTCTCGGCCGAATGGAGTTTACATACTGCCAGCTTGCATGCTGGTTCTGCTCTGCCGGAGGCTGCTGAGCAGATCCAGTGTCAGCGTCTCTCTCGCCATATTGAGCCTCGGCAGATCATCGTTTTTTGGTGGTTCTTTATCTTGGGCGACTTCACTTTTTTTGGAATTTGGGGAGTCTAGATATTTTCAGACTACTTGTTTGAAGAGGGTGCTTGTTCGTAGGTTGGCTAGAGATGTTTCCGCGAATGTGCCCGAGTTTCACGGGGCTTGCCCAACCTAGCTTTGTCTCATCGTACTCAACAGTCTGATCAGTTTACCTACGCGCGTTCGGATATAATCGAGTCTAATGGTCCCTCCGACCTGCTAGACCTATCGCTGGCCGGCGGGGCCGTGTGGGACGTGGTCGACATGAATGTGCCAAGTGGCCATGTGCCAGTGTGTGTTGCCATCGAACCGTGGGCGCCCAGGACCGCTTTCGATTCCAGCAAGGGTGTGCAAGCATGCTCAGCTTCCAGTTGTTGTCGCCGCCTTGCTCGCGGGATGTCAAGTTTGCGATGAATAAAATGACCGTTTACAACAAGTCAACAATTTCTTGTGCTGCCGTTGAAGCTACAAAACAACATCGTTTACTAACCGCGAAGGCGATTCATATTCCCGAACTTACTGCGCGCTGTTTGAGGCTCGTGAGGTGGTGACGCGCAGGTTTTCATGCAACTGCTCGTCAGGGTGTTCGCGCCCAACCAATTCAGTACTGATTTCGTAGACGTCGAGCTCTAAGAGTGGGCGAACTGGGGGGGGGGGGGGGGCGATGCGCGCGCGCGTTGGCCAGCTGATGCAACAGTCTCTTAGACTTGAAGAAGCTAAACAATAGCGAGAACATGCTTCATCGGGATTATCAGTTTCAGCGAATCAAGAGACTCCTCGCAGACTCGGGCACGCACTGGCAGCGTATCTATTTGAAAGCTGTCCTGGACCCTCAAGGATGCTCAAGCGCCGACCTCGACGCAGGCGCCGCGCTGCCCTCTGACTACTGGGTAAAAATCTTTACAGGTGGGGAGGTGTGGACTTGTTTAAGGGGGTTGGTCTCTTGGAACTTACTGGGGCCTGTGCCTCAAGCTGGTTACCGATATGGCAGTGCTGCGCACCAGGGGCTGCCCTGGAACGCCACTTGGGAGTATTTCAGATGCCATTTGAAATCTAGACGGGGCCCGGCACCTGGTTCAGATGGGTTTCCCTTCTGCCTGGTGGAGCGCTGGCGATGATGCGCAGCGGGTGCTGCTTGACCGCGGTCAGGTGGCTGAAGATGGCAATGGCTCGCGCATGGTTGCGCTCCCGAACGGCGACGCGGAGGAAGAAGGGCCGGCGGGGAGAGATCCCTCGCAGACTCGACCTCTGACTCTCTCTAAAGCAGAACAAGACCGCGGCAATGCGGATCGCGGCGCCGATCAGCCGCGCAGCAGAACAACGGGCGGCCCCTGCTCAGCGTGCTTTTTTGTGGTCGGCGCCCGCTGGGCACCGCAATCGATATGCATGCCATGCTTATCTTCTGGCGTGGGGCGAGGGGGCATCGGGGCGCATGGCCGCATTCTAAATCTACGCGCTGATTTTCCGAGTCTCTCCAGCCATGGGCATTTTCTGTGCTGGTGGCTTCAGGGTTGCCAGAGATTATGATGGATGCAATTCGAACTCTCTACGCTAACGTTCAGTGTGTTCGATCCTTCGAAGGCTCTCGCCAATGCTTTATCCCAGCTGCTCGTGGCAGAAAGCGGCGTCCACTCTCGGGCGCGCTGTCCTCGCTTGCTCTGCGCCCTGTCCTCGCCCGCCTATGGCGGCGCCCCCTGGCGATGCCCGTCTCGCTGTCGGCGCGCGCCGACGATCTTGCCAAGGCCTCTGCGGGGATCTACCAGGCGTTGCCAGTCAGTGTCGAGATCGCATGTCTTTCCGGTGCGGTGCGGGCTGCATTCTGAATGTGCAGCGGCGCGTGGCCTTGGCCTGGGTCCTGAGCTCTTGTGTTTCGCGGCGTGCTGTGCTACTTTACGCCGTTCAAGTTTAACGCCTCCAAGTTTAAACTTTTGAGCCCCGCAAAATACCTCGGGGCTGTGATCGTCCTCGGCGGGCCTGGGGTTTCTGGGGCGCAGCGCGTAGCTAGGGTGCGCGCGCGCGCGCGGGGGGGGGGGGTCGGGCGCGTGGGGGCGGGCCTCGCGCCTCGCATTATCGCGCGCCGTAGATATGCTGCATCTGTGCGCTATTGGGCGCTGGTCAACTACACTGTTCTACGCGTCGCGCGCTGCATGTGCGCGGCGCAGTGCGCCTCCTCGTCTTTTCTTTTACCTCGAGGACGTGTGTCTTGAACGTTGTGTATTAGGATTGCCTTTGTCTCGATGGGCACCCGTGATTCACTGTATCTGAACCTCGAGGAGCTTTTGGGACTTGCAAACCAAGTTCCAGGATATTTGGAATGATGCTGATTATCTTGCCGCCTTCAGATATTCGGCGATCGAGACAGCCTCGATCTTGTGCCGGCTGCTGGAGTTGAGCGAGTCTGCGCGGATCTCCGCAGCGTGGGGGGATGACGTCCCTGTCAGGCGCTCACAGGCGGCGTTAACTCGACGGCTTCAGCGCGACCTGTCTCCAGGCTGCCCCCCCTCGCCCCCCTTCCCCAGGATTCGGAAGTGGCTCCCTGGATTTCGCTTGTCTGATGTTGACAGGTGGCTGCTGGTCGCAACCTCGGCGGCAACGGGGAAGATCTCGGCCTCGATGGGCGCGGCGGTGCCGGTATCCTTGTGCGGCGGCTGGAACGCCGCGAGGCGCTGCAGGCAAGGCGCGGTTGATCGCCGATTCGGCTGCCGGGCAGTGGGCGGGCGCTTGCGTCTCGATGCCTCCATGAAGGTACGATTCATCTTCCTCGTTGTTGGGGTTCTGATCTTTCCGCCCCCTTCTTCCCCATTTCATTCCCGTGGCTCGTCCGATCCTTGCTTCTCGCTATCTCGCTGTAGACTGTGTCCATGTTTTTTTGTCTGAGCCTTCGCGCTTCGGGTGCTGCCCAGAGTGCCGCGCGGGCGCGGCGCCTCCTACAGGGGCGGCTTCGTCGGTCCATCAGGCGCGCCCCCGCGCCTGCGAGCAGCGCTGTAGTCTGGGAGGTCGGGGCTCCCTTTCGGCGGCGGTGCTCCTCCTCCGCTTCGCCCTCTCGCGCGGTTCCAGGTGGGGGCCCGTGGAAAGGGACTTGCGAGGGCGATGCCGATTTTTTTGAAGTCCGCTCGGCTTCGCCCACAAGGTCGCGGCAGGGCGCTTTCGCTCGCGCTGGTCGAAGTTTCGAATGCAGCGCCGCGATCTCAGAAGCCCTTTTCGCTGGTGCCCCTTTGGGAAACGCATCGCTCTCGCCAGGTGGGGGGCGGCGCGGCCGGGGCCGTGCTCGGAGGCCCCCCCCCCCCTTGCGCTGGAAAGGGGGGGGGGTCGACCCCCCCCCTTCCCCTCCTTTGCGCCCGCCGAACAAGGGGCTGGGGAGGGGGCCTTTAAGGTAGTGAGTAGAGAGTAGAGTGTTTTGCATAGCGATTGGTGAGTAGTGGGTATTTGATCGTGAGTAGTGAGGAGGCAGTAGTCAGGAGTCAGTAGTGAGTAATGAGTGGGGAGTAGTGCGTAGCGAGTAGGGAGTAGCGAGTAATGGGTGGTGAGTAGTGAGTAGTGAGTTGTGAGTAGTGAGTAGGGAGTCGTGAGCAGTGTGTAATGAGTAGTGAGAAACGAGAAGCGGGTATCGAGTAGTGGGTAGTGAGTAGGAAATTGCGAGTAGAAATTAATGAGGAGTGAGCCGTGAGTAGTGAGTAGTGAGTCGTGAGTAGTGAGTAGTGAGTAGTGAGTAGCGACTTGCGATTAGTGATTAGTGAGCAGGGAGTAGGGAGTAGTGAGTAGCGAGTAGTGCGTAGTGGGTGGTGAATATGTCGTATTGGGTAGCGAGTAGCGGATAGTGACTAGTGAGTTGTGGGCAGTGCGTGGTGAGTAGTGAATTTTGAGTACTCAGTAGTAAGTAGTGGATCGTGGTTAGTGGGTAGTGAGTAGTGCTTTGTGAATAGTGAGTCGTGGGCAGTAAGTAGTGCTTAGCGAGTAGTGAATATTGAGTACCGGGTAGTGAGTGGTGAGTAGTGCGTTGGGAGCAGTGAGTAGGGAGTAGGAAGTAGTGAGTAGTGAGTGGTGGGAGCGTAGTGAAGGGTGAGTAGGGGGTAGTGACTAGTGCGTATCGGGTAGCGAGTAGGGCGTTGGAACTAGCGAGTAGTGAGTCGTGAGTACTGTGTAGGGAGTAGGGAGTAGTGAGTTTCGAGAAGTGGACAGTGAGTAGTGAGTTGTGGGCAGTGAGTAGTGAGTAGTGAAGTGTGAGTCGTGGATAGTGGTTAGTGGGTAGTGAGCAGTGATTTATGATTAGTGAGTAGTGGGTTGTGAGTTGTGTTTAGTGAGTATTGAGTAGTGGGTAGTGCGTAGTGAGCAGTTCGTGTGAGTAGTGAGTAGGGAGTAGTGAGTAGTGGGTCGTGGTTAGTGAGTCGTGGGTAGTGAGTACTGATTCGTGAGTAGTGAGTAGTGAGTAGTGCATTGTGGGCAGTGAGTAGTGCGTAATGAGTAGTGAGTGCTGTTTGGGGCGAGGGTTTGGGCTTGAGGTTAGGGTTGGGGGTTAGGGTAAAGGTGAGGATTAGTGTTGCGGGTGGTCGGGGTCG